GATACCTATAAAAGGTAAAGTAGAAATCCAGCTAAATTTTTTTTTGTTTCAGATAGAATGGAGTAGGGTTTGAACCTCTCATTTCTCTATGTATCCTTGGTGCATTTATTCCAACTATCCGAGAAAGGAAATGTAGGCAAGGGACGCACTAAAAATTGTATTTGGATTTCCTGCTGCCTAGGCAAACCTAATTGATAATGACAAGCCCTGCCCTATGTATCATGTGATTATTTTAGTAAAAACAAATGCTGCAATGCAATATTGAAGGCGCATGAGGTCTGCTTTACATGCAGATCTACTTTTCAACTGTAAAGAGTACCAGAGAAGATAAAACAGAGATGTTTTCAACAGTTCATCTGACCTCTCATCATCTGCTGGATCACTTTTCCATTTGTTACATTTTTTTTTAATACATACCTTTTTTCTGGTGTCTTATAGCCAGTCTTGCATAGTCCCGGGCCCTCAGATTTCTGAAGTGGCCAAGCGCGGCCCTGTTTGCTGCAGCAATCAGTGTCTGATGATGCACCTCCAAACGGTGTGTGTGACGGGAGTAACTTTGGGTATGGGGCTCATGGAACACAGCTTAATTTGCAGAGGTTGGGAGACCCCTGTCTCAGCTCCCCATATCCCTCTTATATGCAAGTCACCCTGTGTCTCTTAGGGGCACAGGGTGACTAATGGACGCTGAAAATGGGGTTGGAATTACTTCAGATGGGACAGTAATATTTATCAGCCATATGAAGACTATTCCTGGTTGTTGATTCTGAACTAGACATGTGAATTGAAAGAGCTGATCACTCTGGCCTCTCCTCTTCTCCAGTGTAGGAGCCAGACCCCCTGCTCTGTAGTGAGATCCTAATTCATCAAACCATTGTCTAGGTGTGAATTCCCATTCACCTTTTGTTTTGATCACCAAGCTAGCTAACCTAATTACCTTACTGTTTAGAGTGTTAAGTCTATTTCTGTATATAGCTGTGTTTGCATATGATCATGTGATCAGTCTCTTTGTGTATTGTATAAAAAGCCCATTTGAGTTTAAAATAAAGACTTCCATGTTCAGACAGGCTGGTGTCACCTAGTTTTGTATGGTCAGCTGTGGTGTCTGTTGTCGGTGTTCGGACGGGGAAGCGGTATTCTAATGGAAGTACTCAAGCGCAGTCTGGGTCAGTTCCATTACAGTATGTACATGACACCATGGGCTCACAAGAAGTAGGTTTAATTGTGCTGGATGTCATTCAATCCGGAAGAAGACTAGTACTGGACTATGGAGCAGAGTCTGCAGGGAACAACAAAGTAATTTCCAAAACATTTTAACAGATAAAGCAATTCCTATATACCCTTTTGACTGATTGGCTGAATATGGCTTTTCATTTTCCAATTTTCGTAAAATTTGGGTAAAATTTTCTATGGCTTCCTATGTGATCTTACATAGTAGTTACATATATAAAATACTTTTAAAGGATAATAGTGATTATCCATTTTGCCCATCCCCTTCAAATTAAAGTATCCCACTCTCTGTCGCATTATTTAGATCTTTTTTCAAAATCACCTTTGCTCTTAATATACCTGTGCAGTGAAGCCCTGTAGACTTCTATGGAACGGTCTCTCAAGGCAAAAGATGGGATGCAGGTAGGTATGCTTCTGAGATAGGTAATGGTGGGGTTCTTTAGATAGGGGAGATAAAAAGAGATAGGTACACAGTAAATGTATCAATGTTAATTTCTTATATAGCTATTTAAATGTTTTTTTGCTTGAGTATGGTGTTATATGAGCATGGCAAAACATAAAAAAATCAGACTTTCCTGTATGCAAGATGTTTGTGAACGGCTCTATTTATGTTTGGCAGTTATAAAAGCCCAGAAGTAGTCTTTAGTATAGCTGATTTTTGAAATAATTAAAGCTGAAAACAAGAATAAAAAATATTGTCTAAATACATTTGTCATGTGTATTCTTCCTTGAATCTTGGTGTGCTTTGTATATTTCTTCTAGATCTGTGCATTGATCCAGTGTGAGACTTTCCCCCTGTGCCGGAGCTTCCTGTAATAAAGACCGCTCACTGCTGCTCTTTCTCCTTGTGCAGAGTGACTGGTCTTGTCTCCGCCCCCTCCTGTAGTTTACTGCAGGCAGTCTGTAGTGGGTGGAGCCTGTTTGGTCCCTCCTACAGCTCAGGTTATGTACAGCATAGTAATGATGTCACTGATACCTATCCTGATTTGCAAAGGCATTTGGTGCTCACAAAATGGATTTATATAAATTGTGGCTATTAAGGAATATATTTAATTGAAAGCTTTTGTGCCTGGTACTTAGCCTTAGTCTAGGCTCACACCTAACCTTTTTGCGGTGCGTTTTGCATTTTGCAGAAATGCACTACAGTCCATTTAACATACTTTTCTATGGGACACCCTCACATTTTTGCATTTTCACCTAGAAAGGGCCAGGTTATTTTAAAACACAATCCACTGCAGTTTGGTTCAATAGATTTCAATGGAGATGCTGCAGAAATGCATGTAGCGTGTTTTGATGCTTTTTGATGCATTTTTTAAGCTTTTTTGCATTTTAATCTGGCCAGTAACAAGTTGGACCCCCCCCCCCCCCCCGCAAAAGGCATAAAAAATGCATCAAAAAGCATGTGCAACAACACAAAAAGCACTGCAGAAACAGATCAAACGCAAACTACATAGGTGTGAACCTAACCTTAGGGCCGGTTCACACAATAGAAACGCAGTGCAGATATGGATGTGTCTTGGCATGCACATCTCTTATGTGTTTTTGGAGCATTCCAGTGTGTTCCACTCTCTTTTTCTTCAATTTAAATAGGGACATGTGCGTTCCCAGTTCAATTTTGGTGCGTTTTACCGCGTTCCAGTACAGTTCTGTGTTGGAAAAATGTAGCCTGTTGTACTTCTTTTTCTGCATCCAGAACGCACTGGAACTGCAAGCACTGATGTGAACTATGACATTGACCACCATATAATCTACTTTCTGTGCATTTTGGATACAGAAAAAAAGCAACTGAAACGCATGTAGTGCGAACCGGCTCTAAAAGAGGAAAGTTAGGCATGACCCTTGAATAGAGGCAGCATTTGAAGACAACATCATGTTTCTTAGGCTGAAAGCCCCCCCCCCCCCCCCCGACATATGGGCTTTACTATAGTTAGGTGCTGTGTACAAGTATCTGCCATATGACCATCTTTTGCTAACCTTCATTTTTTCTGGAGCATAGCATACTGCTAGAACTGTCTATTTTTATGCACTTAACATATATTAAACTATAAAATTTCTAGTCTAGGCTTGGCTTATATCAAGGCTCCTAAATCTTGGCAGACTCCCTACAGTCTGTTGCAGTTTTTCACTGCCAGGGAAAGTTTTCTCTGAGTAAAAAGTAAAGCAGGATGGAGCGATTATTCCTACTGGACTCGATGTGCTGCAGAGCGACACATTACCCGCAATGCTCCACGACTCCAGCAAAATTCAGCACTCTCACTATAATACAGTGGCATCCTGAGGCAGGGGCGGGGGGTGGCACCGGGTGACACCGACCGCATGGGGCGACACCGGACCTGCTCCACGAAAAGGTAAGTTGTAAAGAAAGCCGACGATCCCCGCAGGATGGATTGGATCTGCGGATTGGGCAGCATAATGGATCAGACTCTGATCCATTATGCTCAATCAGCAGATCCCATCCATCCTGCGAGGATCGTCAGCATGCAACCTATACGGGGTGACACCGGACCCGCTCCACGAAAAGGTAAGTTGTAAAGAAAGCCAACGATCCCCGCAGGATGGATCGGATCTGCGGATTGAGCATTATGGATCGGAGTGCGATCCATTATGCTCAATCCGCAGATCCGATCCATTCTGCGGGGCTCATCGGAGGGGGTGTCACCAAGTGTTACCGCACCGGGTGACACCTACCCTAGGGACGCCTCTATAACATATCCAAAGTTTCTTTTTAAAGTAAACCTCAGGCTTCTCCTGACTTGTGGTTGGGGGGAGGTGTTAAAAACAAATGGTCAAACTACATTTTTACTGCCCACCTAAGCTGCAAATGTAGCGGGCAGAGGTTTCCACATGCCGCTGTCGAAATGCTTTACTTTGCACCTGCATAAAAAAATGATCCCACGTGTTGCATTCAGCGGGCAGTACCACCTCCAAACACGACCCATTCAAGTAAATGGAGACACGCAATGTGCGTGTTTGTGACGCGTTTATGAGTTTAGCGAGGAAATGTCATATTGCCTCCTCACCACCTGTCGAGCGCCTATGAAAAGTGATTTAGCCGCATGTCTAAACCACACTGAGTAGGTTTTGAAGTGCTTTTGTGTTAAAAAAAGCACCTAAAAAGCTCAAGAAAAATGCTTCCGTATGTATGTCTATGTATGTTTTCACACTGGGGCATTGCGCTTCCATTGCGGTGTAAAAACTCCTGCTTGCAGCATCGTATAAAAATGCCCCAAAAAGGCTTCTTCCCAATGAAATCGATGAAAAAACGTCTGACAAACGCTTCTGAGAATTGTTTTTGGTGCAGTTTTTATGTCACGTATCCTTTAACCACTTGACAAACAGGCTATAGCTGAATGACGACTACAGTTCTGCTGGGAGGGCATCATATGAAAATTGCCTGTTTGCAAAATTTTATACTAGAAACAAAGAAAAGCTTTTTTTTTTAAATTTTTTGCTCTTTTTTGTTCATAGCGCAAAAAATAAAACACCTAGTGGTGATTAATACCACCAAAAGAAAGCTCTATTTGTGTGAAAAAAAATCATAAAAATGTCATATGGGTGCAGCGTTGCATGACTACGCAATTGTCATTCAAAGTGTAACAGCGCTGAAAGCTGAATATTGGCCTGGGCAGGAAGGGGGTATAAGTGCCCTGTAGGCAAGTAGTTAAAAAAAAACTCAGAAGGCATAGAAAAAGCATTGTAAAAAAGCTCCAAAAACGTATATGCATTTTTGCAGCAGGTCAGTGTGCAAGTAGCCTTAGACCCAGAGGTGTCCCTAGGTTTGGTGTCACCCGATGCAGTAACACTTGGTGACACCCCCTCCGACGATCTCCGCAGAATGGATCAGATCTGAGGATTGAGCATAATGGATCAGACTCTGATCCATTATGCTCCATCCGCAGATCCGATCCTTCCTGTGGGGATCATTAGCTTTCTTTACAACTTACCTTTTCTTGGAGCGGGTCTGGTGTCACCCCATATAGGTTGCATGCCGACAATTCCCGCAGGATTGTCGGCATGCAACCTATACGGGGTGACACTGGACCCACTCCAAGAAATGTTAAGTTGTAAAGAAAGCTGACGATCCACGCAGGATGGATCAGATCATGCAGTCGGTCACCCGGTGCGAACCGCACCCCCCGCACCTGCCTTGGGCCACCACTGCTTAGGCCCCTTTCACATGGGCATTCCCTATGTCTGTTTCTTTATCTGTCCGATTACAGCTGAAAAATGGACACCCATGTATTTCTATGGACCAGCGGATGTAAAAGGACGATCATCTGTTTACATCTGTTAATGTCTGTATCCGTTGACATCCTTTTTTTGAATGGAAGAAAACCCTATTTTTCTTCCGTAAAAAAAAAAAAGCCGAAAATGACAAAAAAAACAGATGTAAATGGACGTAAACAGATGAAAACGGATGTAAATGGACGTAATTGGATGAAAACAGATGTAAACTGATCCATTTTTGCTTGAAAAAAATATGACTGAACTGATGAAAAAAAACGGAACACCTGTGTGAAAGTAGCCTTACTAAGAAATGATGAAAGCTGCCATTAGTACCTCTCATCCTTAACCTCCCTAGCGGTCTGATTATGTCCATATTTCTGTGCTCAAAGCGGTACATTTTTTGCATGGAAATATGTATTTTTTTTTATTGTAGGCCTGTAATTCTTAGGAATAACTCACTGAAATCTGTCCGAACAAGAGTCTAGTAAACATCCCGGGTATGATAAAATTTGAAACACGAAATCATAAATTATAATTTAATAAATAATCATAAAAATAATAATATAATAATAAATTTAATTCAATAATATAATCAAACCAAAAACACTGAAATGTGAAATATAGCGCCAAGTTCACACATCGCTGAGCAAAAAATCGTAGAATCGTTTTCAGTGTCTGATGAGGAATTTCCCCACAAATCATTATCACTCAATTCTGCAAGTGGTTCTAATTTACTATCGCTGTTCTCTAGCCGGTCTAAAACCGCTTTTGACCTAAAGGGACGCTTTTTGGACGCCATGGACGTTTCTCAGTTTCCAGGCAGAAAGAACGGTAAAAATGTAGGCAGGGCACAGGACAAAGCACTCGGGACAAAATGTATGTGAAATGGTTTGATACAGGAATGTTTTACTATGTGATTTTAGTGTATTTAGTGAATGTCACTTTTTGTCATTTTCAAATTTCCCGCCGTTCCGTCTTCCGTATGTCCCGACGTTGCAGGGAACGGAACCCAGATGACAGATGCCGGCATCGGCTGGAGGACATTACAGGGGACACTGCAGGGGGGACATCGCAGGAGTGCAGGACAAGGTAAGTGAAGAACAGATCCCGGAGCAGAGCTGCAGGGTATTCCTGAGTGTAGCTCGGGGTTACCGCTTGTGGTACTGAAACTTTACCCCGAGCTACACTCGGAAATACCGCCAGGGGGGTTAAAGCTCGTTTCCTAGCTGTCATGTTTCCCCTACTGCTTTGATACATTGCATCTCTTTCCTGGAACAAGTATACTCATAAGGATTTATATGAAATATGCTGCACTGCAATATCACCAAAACAAAACATATAATAATTAATCACATGTTCCAATATAAGAGTCTGTCATGATAAAGTTGAAAAAAAAAGAAGAAATCTTCAAAGACACTTCATCTGTAGTGCATCACCACCAACAAGAGACTTAAATCTGCTCACCAAACAGAAAAGACTCTCAAATCAACAAGAGTCAAAATTGCACTTTAATCTCCATATCAGTCATCCTTAATGGTCTTCAGATGTCTCTCTCACTAGGACAAGGCCACTCTCCATCAGCAAGTATCTCAACAACATCCGCCAGAGGATTCATGCATGCAGGTAAGTACCCAGAAAAGAAAATCACATGCAACAGGGGTATGGCCGGATCGATGATAGAGGCCATTGGCACTACAGCATTCTCACAGGACTTCTTGGGATGGGTCTGAGCAGTGTCCATCTTCCCTCTTTGCAAAATGTATTTAATGCTGCTTAAAATCATCACCTCCCGCTAACATTGCAATTCTGGCTAACTTCCAGTAAAACATGATGATGTCACAACAGGCTCCATTCAACGCGTTTCGTCACAGAGGACGTCTTGCAGCAAAAATGCTTTTTAATAGATGCCCTGGAAGCAAAAATGCTTTTTTTTTAAATCTTCCTTGCTTGTGATTGAGTATTTTTGTTCTTTGCAAAGTGAAACTCAACCCTCTGGAGCAACAGCACTTGCAGAGTGCAACTGCGCTTGCAAAGGACACAGTCTATTTGCCTATAGTAAATCAACCCCACTGTCTACATCAGCTTTGCTCTACGGAAAGAGCCATTATCCAGGGTCATCATTTGCTTCCAAAACTGAGATGTCGGCTCAGAGATGAGACAATCATGTAAATCCTGGTGCCTGTGCAGTTCTTGGCTGTGTTCACAAATGTTTGACATAGACTAGCCCCTGCTGCAGTCTCTCACCTTGTGACTTGCTACAAATTTGCATTGTTGCACTCCGATTACTGTGGGAAAAGAGACTGAGGAAATGCTCCTTCTGGCCTGCAGCAGCAGTAAATGTTTAAATATATTTATGTGGAAATTCTGACATATCAGCATTCTCTTCATACACACGTCTGCAGATTCTTAAAGTGGATGTAAACCTCTACATATACTCAGTGCAGTGACTAGCCTCAGGTGATACACAGAGATGAAACAAATGCATCATCTCTTCTCCACAGCTGTTCAAAGTACAGAATTTATAAAGCTTGCCTGAGCTGTCAGAAAAAAAGGGACTGAAAGCTGAAGTTACATTCAGTGAGGGGAGCTCTGAGAACTGATTAGCGGGAAGAGCCCCCCTGCACTGCACACAGGAACAGAGCTGACACTGTCAATCAAAGGCCATGTGCTGGAGCTCCCTCCTCTGTCACCTTTTTTCTCTTGGTGTCAGGAAAACTTGTCTGTCAGGAAGATGATCACCATAGTGCATGGCGGCGCAGATGTGCGAGGGCCCGTTCTGCTGCACATAGTCATGTGCATTTGTGTTCGCGCATGCGCACACGAAAACACACGCAACAGCCCCTTGCTAATGTTGGCGGCAATCAGACTATTTAAACCCAGAAGCACTATTAGCCTGTGCTGTCTGATCTGCAGCTCCCCCTCTTGTATTCCTGATCCTGTGATTGATTACCTGTGATTGACCCCAGCATGTTTCGTGAACTCTGCCTCTGCCTTCTGACTCTGCCTGATCTGCTCCCACCATCACTGACCCTGGCTTGTGACCTGACTATTGTTCTGTCTACCGTTCATGTCTGATCTGCTTATCTGTTACTGACCTGGCTTGTCTGACCCTGCATACAGTCTGCTACCAGCCTGCTTCATTGCCTGCCTGCCTGCCTGCCTGCCTGCCTGCCTGCTCTGCTGCCAGCCGGTCCAGCCATCCCATCTGCCAGCAAAGTGCCAGCAATTTCAGCACAGACTACAGGACTGACCAGGCACTCATACCCCACCGTGCTTTTGTGGTTGCTGTTCCTTCACCGTCAGGCTCCCAAGTGAGGTACGTGACATTGTCTCAAGAGACTCATTCAAATAGAGGAGCTGGGCAGCAGACAGAAATTACACTTAGGGGTTTATTTACTAAAGCTGGAGAGTCCAAAATCAGACTCCCTTCTGCATAGAAACCAATCAGCTTCCAGGTTTCATTGCCAAAGCTTCATTGAACAAGCTGAGGTTAGAAGCTGATTTCTATGCAGAAGGGAGTCTGATTTTGGACTCTCCAGCTTTAGTAAATAAACCCCTTAGTGCTCTGGATTGACATAAGTACACGTTATAAAGGGATATGTTTTGTTCATATTTCATATCTGAGGTTTACAACCACTTTATATGTCCATTTTAGAAGTATTGAAGTGTTTTCATGTGCACTTTTCTTGGCAGTGCCTATCAAACACATATAAAACAATACGATGATATAAGCAATAAAATGGGATGGAAAGCAGGTAAACACTTTAAAGCAAGATATTATTACAACAAAGAATATATTAGAAATACATTAGCCATGTGACTGCGTTTATGCCTTCCCTGTGCTTTTAATAACTGCAAACTAAATGCCAATTTGTACGTACCCTAAAGCATCTATCATACTAAAATAACTAATATTTTATATAATGCCATTTAATGCTGCAAATCTAATGGGGGGGATTTTCATTTCCCAGTACAGACTGGAGATACAGATGATAGCAGCCACTGGACCATTAATTGGATAAGCATAGTCTCGGAATAGATAAGCATAGGCGTAATAAATCATTTCCATTAAATGGCCTTACCTTATTCTTGATTGCTAGGAGCATAGGGAGATCACATGACCTGACAGAGGTCAGGGGTCTCGTGGGCTGCCATTTTGTGCAGACGCAAGTTCTTTATTATAACCCCCTCATTAATTATACAAGCAATACTTAATGCAACTGCATCTGTATTCTTCTGCATATATCACACCGTCTTTCAGCGTTTTTATAATCTGTAATTGCTTGATTTAACATATGGATGTGTCTACTATGGGCAATTGAGGAAGGGCCAGTATACCCGTATTACTGCCTGTACTAGGTACAGGCTACATTGTAGTTGAATCCCAGCTAAAAACTTACCTTTTTGTGGAGCGGGTCCGGTGTCACCCCATATAGGTTGCATGCCGACGATCCCCGCAGGATGGTTCGGATCTGCGGATTGAGCATAATGGATCGGAGTCTGATCCATTATGTTCCCCAATCTGCAGATCCGATCCATCCTGTGGGGATCATCGGCATGCAACCTATACGGGGTGACACTGGACCCGCTCCACAAAAAGGTAACTTGTAAAGAAAGCCGACGATCCCCACAGGATGGATCAGATCTTGCTTGCTTTACAACTTACCTTTTCGTGGAGAGGGGCCGGTGTCACCCCGTATGGTAGGTGTCACACGGTGCAGCGCGCACCCCTCACACCTGCCTCAGGACACCACTGGCACAGGTCAGTCCTGACCTCATTTTGCTCTACCACAGATAGGCAATACAGCTTGGTCACCAACCTGCCCACAAGCTGTGATTGGTCTATAAGAAAAGCAGCACATTGATAAAGTTGTTAATCTGCTATGTTTACTTTTCTCCTAAAAACAAGTTCCAATTCTTGAATAAAGCTGCTTTTACACTGCTACGGTGCGTTTTTCCAACACTGCAGGTGCAGCGCAGCTCACCCGCTCCAGACACACAGGTGAGCTGCACTGCACCGGCGGAGCTGGAAAAACACCTCAGGACAGTGCAAAAGCATGCGTACAGTATCAGAAGTAGAGGCCTAAATGACCAACCCACTCTTAGTTATCAAGCAAGTTTGGCTGGGTTTGGTTCCCTAAGGGTTTGGTGAACCCTCTCTGAAATACAGTGAACCTGAACTTAGCAGTGAATCCCACTGAAGTCTATGGGGCATGAAATCTGCTAGTAGATTCTGGCCATTTTTAGGGCTTTTAGGAAAACAAATGCATGGACAGCTGGGCACTGCCATGGGGGACATATACCAATGCAAAAAAAAAAAGAAAAATACAGCGGGAAAAAGGTTTTTTTGAGGGCAATATTGACAATACACAGCATGATTCGGGGGATGTCCTAAAGTGATTCTAAAGGGAGAAGTTGTTTTTTTTTTTTAACCATAATGCATTCTATGTATTAGCCACTTGCCATCCGCTCTATAGCAGAAGTACTGCTACAGGGCAGCATGGCTGTGCAAAATCACGTATATATACATGATTTGCATCTCTGGGTAGAGGGCATGCGTGCCGCCCTACCCGTGTCGCTATTTGCGGACGAAGATGTCAATCACCAGGTTATGACCGGCAAAGCTGACAGGGGAGAGACCTGTGTGTAAACAACACAGATCTCTCTCCTGTCAGCATGGAAACCCATATGGAAGTAAAATATATTTGAAATATATTTTAAAAATATTCTTCCCAAATATATTGACATATATTTGAAATGCTACAATTGTGGCCATATTCAATATATATATATATATACTGTATGTTGAAATGCGTTTTTATTACAAAATATAATAAAAATATTTTTTAAAATACATTTCAAATATACTGTATGTCTTTAAAAATACAAATCTACATATTGAAATGCATTTACAAATATATGTAAAAGTATATGTTAAAATGACTTTTTTATATGTTAAAGAAAATCTGAAGAATATATTTAAAAAATTTAATATATATATATTTTTAAATATATTCTTCAGAATTTTTTTAACATGTAAAAAGTAATTTTAACATATATTTTTACGAAATGAAAAACCCAAAATGCTATATATATATATATATATATATATATATACACACACACACTATATTGCCAAAAGTATTCGGACACACCCCTCCAAATCATTGGATTCAGGTGTTCCAATCACCTCCATGGCCACAGATGTATAAAATCAAGTACCTAGGTATGTAGACTGAAAGAATGGGTCGCTCTCAGGAGCTCAGTGAATGAGCGAGTTTGGGGTGGAAGAACTTTATTGGCCTGCACAGAGCCCTGACCTCAACCCTATAGAACACCTTTGGGATGAATTAGAGCAGAGACTGTGAGCCAGGCCTTCTCGTCCGACATCAGTGCCTGACCTCACAAATGTGCTTCTGGAAGAATGGTTAAATATTCCCATAGACACCCTCCTAAACCTTGTGGACGGCCTTCCCAGAAGAGTTGAAGCTGTTATAGCTGCAAAGGGCGGGGCCAACTGAATAATGAACCCTACGGACTAAGACTGGGGTGCCATTAAAGTTCATGGGTGTGTAAAGGCAGACGACCCAATACTTTTGGAAATGTAGTGTATGTATGTACAGTATATTATATATATATATATATATATATATATATATATATATATCGTGCTTTCTTTTGGTAGTATTTAATCACCACTGAGTTTTTTTATTTTTTGCTAAACAAACAAAAAAACACCACACATTTTGAAAAAAATAACATTTTGCAAACAGGTCATTTATTTCCTTCACTGATGTGCACTCATGATGCTGCACTGATGGCCACTAATAGGCATCACTGATGGGCACTGATAGACTGCACTTATGGGCACTGATAGGCAGCACTGATGGGCACTGATAGGCTGCACTGATGGGCACTAACAAGGAGGCACTGATAGGGCTGCACTGATGTGCACTGATAAGCAACATTGGTGGGCACTGATAGGTGACACTGAAGGGCACTGATAGGCGGTACTGATGGACACTGACTGTCAGAACTGATGAACACTGACTGCCAGCACTGATGGAAACTATTGGCAGCACTGATGGACACTGTTGGGGCTGCACTGTTAATCAGTGCCTTAATTATCAGTGTAAATGTCCTCTTTCACAGTTGCCGGTTACCGGTTCGCCTTTCCTCGAGGAAAGTGCTGCTGATAACCGGCAATTGTGTGTATACTATGATTAGCTGTGATTGGACACAGTTGATCACTTGGTAAAGGGCCGCAGTGACTGTCCCTTTACCGTGATCTGTGATCAGCTGTTCGATGGACACAGCGATCACAGAGCACACAGGGGTGCGCCCAGCAGTGCGCGCGTGTGTGTGTGTGTGTGTGTGTGTGTGAGGGGGGGGGGGGGGGGTTCTAGGAAGACGTCATATGACTGGACGACCGTGTTGTAGCCGTCATTTGGCTATAGCCCGGTCAGCAAGTAGTTAAATGAATGTGATATTTTGGGGAAAGAATTTAGTTCAGAATATAGTAGATGATAACCCTGAATGATGTCTAAAGAAAGATGGCTCTGCCCTTCAGGAGAGAACAGATTGTGGCATTGTTGGGGGAGTGCTGTGATCTCTTTGGGAGGTAATAAATGCCGGGAAGTACTGCACTCTTACACATTACTTAGCATGAGTTTACATAACATGAAAAGCTACTTCTAATACTAGAACCACTTTGACACTCACGAGTTTCATGTATCCAATATGCCATATATCAAATGCACATAATAATTCCTTTTTATGACCTCGGTTTCACTTACATCCCATACTCACCTGTGAAATCAGTGTGTAATAGACCTGGCTTCTTGATTTGGAACATTGTATCTCATTTTTCAAAAAAAGCCTGTGATAGATTTTAATAGGGGAGTAACAAGGAAAAAAATATATAATAGCCTCAAATCCAATTTAAGTGTAAGAGACCCTCTCTTATTCCGATTTGTCAAGTCCGTATATGGACCGACTACCGCACCGTGGCAGCGGAGACATCTAAAATCCTGATTTAATTCTGATACAGAGAAATACAATTTGAAAACTGGCCGCCTTATCATACTGTAGGTATGCCCCATTGCAGAATTCATTTTCTTAGCATAAAGCTGTCACAGTCATTATGTAGTACAAGGAAGCAAATTACTAGTACAGCTAAACAGGGTTACCGCTACTGTTGGGACTGAAGCATCTGAAGTTATCGCTTAAAAAAAAAAAAAAAAAAAAGCATTTCAAATGTCAGAGAAATAGGAGTTTTATAATTGAAAAGTATCAATCAGAAAAGCAAAGGAGTTTGTAGCACCAAGTCCGCTCGTGCTGAAAAGCACCTTCCTTCCCTTGTCCTACTCGATTTTATTTTTATTGCAAATTTTTTTTTTTTATAAACTCAGATCTCGCGCAATAAAATAAACTATTTTTACCTGCCGCTTGTTTTGTGCTGGACCTGAAATGTATTTTGATAGGATTTTTTTTATGCTCCGCTAGACATAATTTCATTAAAGGAAGTTGTTGTTCGACGCAACGCCACACTTGTCAGTCTCGAAAAACGGAGAGCAGGCTGGTTGTTCGTCTTACAAGTTCCATTAATGTTCCCGGTTATTGAATTCAGCACACCGTGTGAATATTTGTACGGAAACAGGCTTACTTAAGAAGGCAGCGCAGAGACCAATGATGAGGTGCGAAATTCAGTACCCCATGACAGCCAATCACCTTTCACCTTTTGGTTCGTTACAGCAGGCACTGCAGTGAAAGACGATTGTTGATTGGTTTTCAAGATATCAAAGCAGTGCAGTGTTGTTCATGGCTACTATTGACTATTAATAGTAGCCATGAACAACACTATGACTTATTGGCAAATTGGCATGTGAGGCCACAAATCCCATGAACAACACTATGACTTATGGGCAAATTGGCATGTGAGGCCACAAATCCCATGAACAACAATATGACCAATTGGCAAATTGGGATGTGAGTGCCACAAATCTCATGAACAAATTGGGAAATTGGGATGTGAGGCCACAAATCTCATGAACAACAATATGACCTATTGGCAAATTGGGATGTGAGGCCACAAATCCCATGAACAACACTATGACCTATTGGCAAATTGGGATGTGAGGCCACAAATCCCATGAACAACACTGTGACCTATTGGCAAATTGGGATGTGAGGCCACAAATCCCATGAACAACCATATGACCTATTGGCAAATTGGGATGTGAGTGCCACAAATCCCATGAACAACAATATGACCTATTGGCAAATTGGGATGTGAGTGCCACAAATCCCATGAACAGCACTATGACTTATTGGCAAATTGCGGTGTGAGTGCCACAAATCCCATGAACAACAATATGACCAATTGGCAAATTGGAATGTGAGTGCCACAAATCTCATGAACAAATTGGGATATGAGGCCACACATCTCATGAACAACAATATGACCTATTGGCAAATTGGGTTGTGAGGCCACAAATCCCATGAACAACACTGTGACCTATTGGCAAATTGGGACGTGAGTGTCACAAATCCCATGAAAAACAATATGACCTATTGGCAAATTGGGATGTGAGTGCCACAAATCCCATGAACAGCACTATGACTTATTGGCAAATTGGGATGTGAGTGCCACAAATCCCATGAACAACAATATGACCTATTGGCAAATTGGCATGTGAGTGCCACAAATCCCATGAACAACAATATGAGTTATTGGCAAATTGGCATGTGAGTGCCACAAATCCCATG